AAAAAAAAAAAAAAAAAAAAAAAAAAAAAACTAAAAATATTTCCTTGGACTGTACCTTCTGACCGACAGATCCCATTTTAGGAGCTCGATCATTTAGAAACAGAAGCACAAATACATAATAAAGCTATATTAACAGGGTATTCCTTTGGCACTATTCATAGTATAAAAAGGTGGTAAGCAACTGAGTCAACAGGGGATTGTTTACATAAACATGATCTAGCTGTATGTACTACTTATGTACAGCTTTTTTAAAAGTCAGACTGTAGACATCTAGTGATCTGATTAAATGTTCATGATGAATTAAATAAAATGTATAGATGGCCATATTTTTGTAAAAACAAGTCCTTCAAATCTTTTATATTTGGATAAGCTCAAAGAAGGTAGAATACACAAATCTTGATCTCTCTATAATTGGGATAGAGAGAAACTTTCTTTTTTTTGGTACCAGGGATTGAACTTGGGACCTTGTGCTTGTGAGGCAGGCAGCAGAACCACTGAGCTAAATCCCCAGCCAAGAGAAACTTTCTTAATACATCTAAATTTAGTACTTAAAAGATATCTAAAAGCTTTGTAATTAAGGACATTATAAAATTAACAATCAGACATATTCATATATAACTGACTTATGATCTTTGAATTGGTAAACTGGTTCTGTTGTTTTCTACAATTATATACAAATGTTTAAATAGATAATACTTGTAATACACAATGCCTAAGATCCAGTATAATGAACTATGAAAAAATTTATAAACAAGAATTATCCTTTAATGACCATATTTTAAAAAAACAAATGAACTGCACTTTTTAAAAAGGTGTTGTCTTAATTTTTAAAAATTACTATAAAAAATGAGCCAAGGATGAGAAGAACCAACATAAAGAAGGAAATCACATGTTCTATAATTGACCTTTCAGAACAAAAAGTTTGTGTGTTGATAATTATATACAGGAGGGAACACAATTGTAATGGAAATTATAATTGCTGGAGCAATGTCCTTGGGGAGGTGAGAACTGTTCAGAGATTTGCCATACCTTAAGGTAGGGACAGTTCCTCCTTAGTGAGAGAAGGGAGAACAGAACATATGAACAGTTTGTAGATGTGGTGTTGGAAACTCAAAGTTCTCAATGAATGACTTGTTACCTCAGTGAAGAAGCAGAAAGAGGTAGCACAGACTGATGGTAAGGAAGGCTGTTTTGGCTGGAGGTCTGAGAGAATGGAGATATGAAATAGCTGACTGCCTAGGGAGAGTGAATGAATCATGAACACTTACTAAGATTTCTGGCCAACACTAAAGCTCATTTGAGTTTATGCTCAGAAATTTAAAGTGAGAATGGTTATCTTGTTTGCACATCTATCAGCACATTCAGCTCAATGGGTGTGGAGCCAGTGGTCAGATTTCATAAGGGTTTGAATTTGGCTAGGGAAATACAACATAGAAAGGAGCAAAGGAGTCAAGAGGGTATGTGAAGGAGTGATTATAACAATGTACTACAAACTCAGAGGATAAGTAGAGAAGTGCAGGCATGAAAGGGAAAGTGCTGTAGTTTTCAAATTAAGAATTGAACTCAGGGCCTTACACATGCTAGGCACATGCTCTACCATTGAGCTGTAACCCCAGTCTGCAAAGCACTGTGAAAAGAATTGACAGACTGTAGGTCCTGGGGAGGTCTAAAGACTGCTGGAGTTAAGGGCTGTTCACAGTAAGCCGAAAAAATACAGGTGGAAGTAGCAAGATATGTTTGACATGGAGACTAAGGAAAAGTTTCAGAAACTGCCAAAGGCAAAGGAGTGAGTGGCTGAAGCTGATCTTGCTATCAAGATCGCTAGCACAGAAGTATCTACAGGAGAGAGACAATGAGAAACTGACATCTCTGGGGAAAAGGAGTGAGCAAGGGATGGTAAATGAGTACAGATGGGTGATGACATGAAAATTTTAAATCAGGGAGTTTTTTTAGACACTGAATTTATGATTTAGTCAAGTCTAAACTTGTATTTCTAAAAACATCCCAGTTGAAACTGATGCAGTTGGTCCAGGGGTCACATTTTCTGTACAACTCAGAACAAAACCAGAAAAGAAACGAAAAGGTCAACTATGTAGGGAATGCTGTTGACTTTTCATGAATCCCAGAAAACACAATGAAAATATTTTAGTATTTGGAGAGCAGTGATAGATGAGGCTAGAAAAAGGGTCCTCACAAAACCAGGCTTCAGTTTAAGAAAGTTAAATGTAAGAGAAGCCAAACTTATCATTGTTAAATGAAAGACAACAAAATATTTTACTAAAAAAAGTGTACACTATAGGAAGGATCAGTTATAAATCAGTATTATTCTCTGCTAACTGACTTCAACCAAGCTACCAAAATTGAGGAAGTCTCACAAACTGCAAAGCTGGTTAAAGAGAACATGGTAGTTATAACATAGCTTCCTATAATTTTTTAGGGAAATAACATAAAATATACTGTTTAGCATACACATACTGATTTCTTGATTAAAAACAGATACAGCTGAATAAGAATAGTTATCTCACTTTAAATCTAGCCATTGCATGAAGGTAACAACACTACTTTTATCAGTTAATCATGTTTTAATTGGTTAACAGTCTAAAGATATTTCAAAAATTATCATTAATTATAAAATTTAGTTCAAGAAAACTTATTCTTCACTAAAATATATACACTTTGAATTTTTATCAGAATAGTGCTTAAATCATTTTACAGTCGAGTTCAAAATTTTAAAATACACAAAGCTAACATGATTTATACAAAATTGCAACATGAAAATGACAAAAAATATTTCACAGATTAACTTTAAGTAAACATCATTATCACATATACATATGAAGAAATAGCAGATAAATTCTTATAGAAATTTGTATACATAATATTTACTATTATTTTGCTTCAAATTCAACTTTTTTTTTTTTGAGACAGGGTCTTACTCTGTCATTCAGGCTGGCCTTGAACTCACTATGTAGCCTATGCTGGCCTCAAACTGGCAGTGATCCTCCTGCCTCAGCCTCTCAAGTGCTGGGATTACAGGTGTGCACCACCACACCTGGCTAAATTCAGTATCTTTCAACCCATAGGTTATTGTTTCTTGAAATTAAATGTCTATATAAAACTTGAATATGGAGCCAGCAGACTTAAGTAACTTGATGCTCAAGTTGTTAGAAGCTCTAAATGTTTTTGAAGGCAAGCAAATATTTGTTTTACAAGTTAAAAACTCAACAGGAATCATGCTTTTTATATATTTTTATATAGTCATCATTTTTTAAACAATCAGGGAGTATCTATTGGATTTTCATTGCTTAAAACAAGGCTTATCATACATTGCTGATAATGATTTGTAGAATGAATAACATATAGAATATAGTCAGTTTTCAGGGATCCAAATTATAAAATTTCCTATACTAGCCTTAAGAATAAACATATAGCTATTTAAAAATGTAAGTGAAATTGTTTAATCATTTAAGACCAGTGAAAATACAACATGAGATTGCTATCTTCATGTTTGAAAGAGTCATTTTACCATATGTATTTTAATCTTTTATATTATTCATTTAAAGTTGATGGTTAATTTAAAAACTGAGTTTCAATCAAAATTGTTTTCAAACATTGTCATAATGTCACTTTGAAGAGTCATATCAATGGTACCCGCCATCTGTAAAAAAAGAGAACATTTTAATTACTTTAAAAATATATGCCTTTACTATAGCTATATAAAAATGATAATACAACATATGGAAACAGACTATACAAAATGCCAACAATTTATTTAACAAAATGGATTATTTTTGATTTGCTAAAATACTGTGTTTTTGTTAACACACTGTTCATGAGATAAATAAAATTAAAACCTGCCACAGATTAAAATTAGACCCTTATCTTTCGTCATGCACTAAATTAAAATCCAAATGGATTAAAGATCTAAATATTAAAACAGAAACATTAAACTTGCTGGAAGGTAAGTTAGGCAGAACTCTGGAAGACATTGGTATAGGAAAAGACTTTATGAACAAATCCTCAGTAGCACGGGAACTAGCAGATAGAATCAACAACTGGGATCTCGTCTTAGTAAAAAGCTTCTGTACTTCAAAAGAAACCATCAGCAGAACTAAGAGACAATCTACAATGTGGGAAAAAAATTTTACCAGCTGTTCCTCAGACAAAGGATTATTATCAAGGATATATAAAGAACTCAAAACAATCAGTCCCCCCAAATATAAAGACCCGATTCAAAAAATGGGCATCCGAAATGAACAGACATTTCTCAGACAAAGAAGTAAAAGCAGCAAGAAAATATTTGAAAAAATGTTCCACATCACTGGTCATTCGAGAGATGCAGATGAAAACAACACTGAGATTCCACCTCAACCCACAAAGAATGGCTGCTATCAAGAAATCACACAATAACAAATGTTGGCGGGGTTGTGGGGAGAAAGGAACCCTTCTCCATTGTTGGTGGGAGTGCAGACTAGTGCAGCCACTATGGAAATCAATATGGAGATACCTCAAAGAGCTTGGACTGGAGGCTCCATTTGACCCAGCCATCCCTCTGCTGGGTATCTTTCCAAGAGGACTAAAAGAATCATATCACAGAGAAGTATGTGCACCCATGTTTATAGCGGCACAGTTTGTAATAGCTAAAACTTGGAAACAGCCCATTTGCCCATCCGTTGGAAACTGGATAAAGAAGTTGTGGTTTTTCTATAAAATGGAATATTACTCAGCCATAAAGAATGAGAAAATAGATTCATTCATAGGAAAATGGATACATATTGAAGATATACGCCTAAGTGAAATAAATAAGTCACACATGTGTAAATACCGAATAGTTTCCCTGGTGTAAATAATCTGCAACAATGCATAAGATTCTAATAAGATTACTGACATTTAGAAATGGGAAGAAAGGAGCTAAAGGTGTAGGGAAGGTGGGATGGGTAGGGGAAGAGTAAAAAGGGAAAAGAAAAAAATGTGAGAGAATGAAAAGATGAAAATAAAGTGTTTGTAAATGGGAAGGGGAGGAGGGGGTAAAGGGAGGATAGGGACAAGTGGAAAAAATGAGAATCAAGACTTGTCATGTAGAGGTACAAGATCCCAACAATGAATGTAACTGTACTCTATCCCTAAAATGTACCAATAAACTCAATTAAAGCTGAAAAAAAAACCTATGTGAACATGAAAAATAAGTTTGACCAATTTCTCAAAGACAGGAAACTGAATATGGATAAAGTGGGTATTAATAAGAATATTAACTGAGAGAGCACACTGTTTTATTCCTGTAACCAACATAGTGTTAGTCACAAAATTATTTTCTGAATGAAGCAATATTTTCTCTACATAAAAGAACTGATATAATGTCAAAGCTGAGGGCTTTCCTTGATTCTGCCATTATCAACTGCGGAACTAAGGCAAATTATTTTAGTCTATTTTATTTATAGGCATTTTTTTATTTTTATTGAGTTTATTGGTACATTTTAGGTATACGGTACAGTTACATTCATGATTGGGATCTTGTACCTTTACATGACAGATCTTGGTTCTCATTTTTTCCACTTGTCCCTACCCTCCCTTTACCCCCTCCTCCCCTCCCCATTTACAAACACTTTATTTCCATTTTTTTTCATTTTCTCCTATTTTTTCCTTTTCCCATATTCCCTTTCCCCTACCCTTCCCACTTTCCCTACACCTTTTATAGGTATTTATGAAGACAAAATCAAATTGCTTGTGTAATATTCAAAACAATGCTTTATGAATTCTCAAAAGCTTTCAAATACTAAGCTTTTAACACTAAAATAAACTGAAGTAGAGAAAAAGCTACTTAAGACCAAAGAGATGTATACTGTATCTTGAAGTTATATTCTATCCCCTTGTTATACAGGTTGGAGAGTCCCTGCCAACTGAAATATCAAATATTAAAATTTAAAAACCTAAAAAAATAGTCCTTAATAAACAACAGCTGACCAGGGTGATAGGTAAAAGCACCAATTTACAAACTGTTGGCTTCCTGGTAGTCACTGATATTTTCATTAGCTGTGTAGGAAGAGATTTGGAATTATGATCTACCTGCTATAATTTATTATCCCTTTGGGTATATCTAACTCACTATACTTAAAATTTATCTTATAGGCAAACAGATACTTCTTAAATCCTAAACCAGGCTACTTTCCTCACGCCTACTTCCTAGTACGTCAAATGTCTAGCTAAATAGTTCTTAAAGTTCTTATTTTAAACCTGTAATGTGAGAGTTGGATATATTATCCTACTCTAAATATCACATGGTACTCTGTAAGTATACATATAGTAAGATTCAAAGAAATGTAAATAATCTATTTAAGGATTTTTGTGTACATAATGTTGCACACCAAAAATGTGAATGATATTTTATTACTATATATGTTTTTAAAAAAATAAACTCTTAAGCTACAAAAAGACATTGTGTTTTTCTCCGAAATACTGGGGATTGCAACCAGGGACTGCTAAATTGTGTCCTAGTAAAATTATTTATTTTTATTTTTATTTTGGGTCTCACTAAGTTGCCTACTCTGGCCTTGAACTTGTAATGCTCCTGCCTCAGCCTCTTGAACAGTTAGGATTATAAGCATAAACCACCATGTCCAGCAGACATAGAACTTTAAATGAACAATGTTAAATGAAAGAAAACCAAGTGAAAAGGCTACACATTGTATAGTTCCAACTATTTGACATTATGGAAAAGCCAAAACTATGGAGACTAGAAAAATCAGTGGTTGCCAGGGAGGAAGGGTTTAATAGGAGGAGCACAGAGGACTTTTAGGGCAAGGAACAATAATGACTGATAAATGTCATTACACATTTGTCAAAACCCATAAAAGACACAATACAAAAAGTATTAAACCATGGACTTTACTTACTAATGTAAGGTGGACAATGTCGTGTTGGATGGTGGGGAATATTTCAGAGCAATTTTTCTATGATCCAAAACTGCTCCCAAAATAAAGCTCATTATTTTTTTAAAGCTATTTGTAAATAAAGACATTTTCAGATACAAAAACTCAGAAAGAATTCATGCACAGTAGACTACACTACTGTGAAGAGGCTGAGGGAGGAGAATCACAAGTTCAAGGCCAGCCTGGACCTGTGAGACCCCCAAGTCAAAATAAAATATAATTAAATAAAAAGGACCAGGGATGTAGCTTAATGGTAGAATACTTGCATAACAGTATGTGTGAAGTCCTGAATTTAATACCCATTCCTGAAAGAAAAAAATAGGAGCACTGGAAGTGGTTACCCACGCAAATAAATTTTATAAAGCTCTTCTTATTTGGAACATTTTAAGGTACAGAATTTCCCCATGCCAACAGTAGTCATAAAAAGGTAAAGTGGCTATATTAAATTTCAGAATACACGAAATTGCCAGGAATAAAGATAATTTCATTACAAAAATGGGGAAATAACAGAGGACATGATAACATAATAAGCCTAAGTGTTTAACTACTTAATAATAGCTTTGAAATGCATGAAATGAAATTGAAAATTCTAAGGATAGAAAGACAAATTTATAGTTACATAATCATGTATGTAAACGCTTTTTCCCCTTATAACTGATAGAACAAATAGCAAAAATTAGTAAGGACACAGTAGACTTGTTGCCAACCAACTTAACCTATATCCAACAGCAGCAGAATATCTACCAAGCTAGACCATACAATAGGCCACGAAACAAGTCTCAAAAAATCAAAGAATTGAAGTTAGCACTATTCTCTGGCCATAACAAAATTAAATTAGAAACCACTAGCAGAAGTCACTCATCATAAAATTCCTAAATATTTGAAAATTCAACACTTCTAAAATACGGATAAAAGGCATCAATTCTAGTTTTAAAAATATCAGACAGGCAGGCAGGCTGTATATAAAGGCTCTCAAATCAAGCCAATTTCTGACAAGATCAGGCGTGTTCAGGGTGGTAAAGCTGTAGGCTCAAGCCACTTTCTTAATCTAGCATTCAAAGAAATGCTGGTCTGGAACAGGTCGCATATCTTTTGACCACAATTTGTAAGTGATTTACAGATTTCTTTTCATGAGTAACAATGTGGTAAATCACTTCACTTATGTGCCAGGCATTTTTCTATGTGCCTAATGCACATTAATGAATTTCATCTTCAAAACAGGTGCTATGAGTCCCTCTTTCTAAATGACCAAATTGAGTCAGAATGATTGAACTGTCAAAACCCAAAAGTCTAGTAAATAGCAGAACTCAGGCCTATAATCCAGTCGGTCTAGTAGCTGTAATGTCAATATTCCATATTACATATTACACTTGCTTCCTTTCGCTGAGTTAAGCTCTAATTTCAGAACCTCATCCTCACCAAAGAAGTAACTGCAGTGTCACTGAAAACCCCCTGAATGTATCTTTGAACACATCAAAGGTCTGGTAAATTGTTTCTTTGTTAAAGTAAAATTCACTTACTGCTTCTCTCCTCCTCCTCTCTTGCTCTTTCTCTCTTGCTAAATTACGGTCTTTGAGAAGCCAGAGATTGCATTTATCTTGAGCTTCCAATGACTGCTGATGGTTTTTTTGCTCTTCTCCAAGGCACTTGTTTTGCAGTTCATTTGAAAAAAATTCTAGAGGCAATCCATTTCCAAGGTCCCTTAAAGAACAGTAAAGTTTAAAGTAGGTTTCAAGTTCTTTAAGAGTTTTTATTATAAAGATGCATTATTAAATAACAAATATAAAGCAATATACCATTTTCCCATGCTATGATGTTGTTTTTAAATTTTATTTTTGATGTGTCCAATTTTACATACAGTGATCTAAATTAAAGACAACAACAACGAAAAGTTTTGGAAAACTGTGACCAAGTCACATCACTGTCTTCCTACATACAGAATGAAAAAACTTTAACAAGAGTTTTGGAAAATAATGTCTGCATAGTATGGCAGTTCTTATATCTTTCCTAGCTTAATTGCTTGTTTCTGTGTTCTTCAAAATACAGTAGATTCTGTTCAGAAAATATGTTAAAATGTACTTTTAAAAATTACAATTTGTTGTTTTCTATGAAGTAACTGTAGTTACTTAACATATATTTAAAATACATTCCTATACCTCCTAATGCCTCTCTTAACCACTCACCAGTACAATTATTTAAATACAGGATGATCAAAAACTGCATATTTTCCATTAATTTTATAACAGGTAATATAAAAATGACAATTTTATCAAATCTCTTCAATGCAGGAATTTGTTGAAATGACACCTCCCCAAGCAATGCTTAGCATAGTCACTACGTAAAGAAACATGCTACTGGAGTGATGCTTGAGGTAAACTGTGAAGTGATTAATCCAGTAAACTACAAACCTCTGATTTTCTGGAGACACTTTTGGTTCCTTTGCATTTTGCTCCAGATGTTTCCTTATTAATTCTTGTTTTCGAGCTTTCACTTCTTTTTCTATTGCCGCTTTTCTAAATTGGTTGAAGAGCTGATCTGAAGATTTCAGTATGCTTGGCGTTTTCACTGGTTTGCCTAAATTTTTCCAAGAGTCTGCATTCTTAATCTTTATATCCTAAAAGAAATAATTGATTTAGTCTATGTCAACCAAATTTTAAAAGGAAGATAGTATCTCCTAATCCAGTAATCAATCAAATTAAGATTTCAAAGGACTTAATGGACTTTTATTAAATGTTACTAAAATCAGGGGCAAAATGAAAACAATATAATAACTCAAGTATTCCTCTAAGAACAAACTGAAGTAGCACGGTCACCAATTATTTCAATTTAAGACACACATTAACTGCATAATTTGCAAGGAATATAAAAATAAGTAAACCACTCACTGTAGTTACCTTATGATACTTATGACCCTATAGGGAAAATAAAGACATAAGTGATTAAGAGGCAAATTAAGATTAAGAATGAATGGCATGGGATTTGTTGAGAACTTTCTAACCTGGCTGTCTTTTCTTTTTCTGTGGTAAGAGAAAACTATCTGATGTGATCAAATGGTCTTAAGATAGGTTGAGATCCATGCTGCCCAATAGAAATATATGTAATTTAAAATTTTCTAGTAGCTTAAGGTTTTTTAAATTTAAATTTTTATTACATTTTATTTAAACACATATACTCAAAGCAAATTTTAAACTTTGTTTCTTAAATTGCTCCAACCATATTTCAAGGGCTCTGCAGCCACATGAAAATTAAAAGTCTAGTTGGCTTTTCTTTTTCTTTTTTTTTTTTTTTTTTTA